ACTCTAAAATGACTAGGAATATTCGAAAACAATTGTTTGCTCACCGACTCCTTTTCTCAATGCTATCGTGGGAATATACAAGCTTTTGAAATCATGAATCTCTTGGTCGTGGATGAAAGCCTTCATTCTTGTCCGTGCATCTGAAATTAAGTACTCGTATCAAAAAAACAGAATGAATCAAGCCCCTCTGAATTGGCAGTGAAATAATATGTACACACATTCACTGACATTTGTGACTCGAAGCTAACCGATAAAAACCATATATCATTTCGCATCATACTAAATATGATAGCACAATAGGGAAGTCAAAAGCACAGAGCTACACAATGTATTCTGGATCATTCCGCTGCATCCACAAGCAATCGTGTACTCCCGCCTAAATTACAATCCATTTATGGACAGAATCTTAGTCCCAGAAATATTGTGAACAACGCTACTCTTTAATCATTAGCAAGATAATGCCAGAGTGAAAGGCCATTCGCGCTAGTTGCACAATGGGTTCGTTTCAGCTTACTTTCTTATCCACGAAAAGCACGTCTTACGTTTTCCAAAAAGAGAACAGCTAATGAAAGAAATCGTAAATTTGAACGTTCCGAGTGATCAGGAAACACATACACAAACACACAACAAGTACTCACTATTCTTGGTGGTCGCCGTGAGATAGGATTGCACCTGCTCCTTGCTCATTCCCATACCCAAGAGTTCCGAAAGTGTATACACTCCTGGATGCAGATGAGTGGCCACAATCGATAATTTCCCATCTTTCGCCGGTTCGATCATATCGTTCGGTCGGGGTAAATTCCACGCGTGTTGGGCATCTGCTAAGATCGCGTGTCTAGATCGATCGATCTCGGAAGCTTTAGGTGCATTTTTGATTAGAAACTGATAAGAATTCCCGGGGTAGGAGAGAGAGAGATGGTGAGCTTGTTAGCAATTTGATACATTTGAGGTCTGTTATTATTATCATTGGGAAGCTGTATCACAGAATGCATACTGATTTGTGGTGTTTCTGAACTATGCCAAAACAAATCCTACCGAGTATTAGTGATAACATAACATCCATCATCAATTGGGTGGAATAACCCTAGTGTTTATCTGAGTAAACCGAAGTGAGTTTTGTGGGTGGACAGATGATTAGTTCACACTAGGCCACAGGATTTTTCTACAGCAATATCGAATCGTAATGCGTCATGTCCGGTTGTTTCAATACCCCTGGCGTTTCTACACAGGTTCGGGTCTAGAAGCCGAAGCGTGCCAGTCTCAGACCTGCTTCATTTTGCAATTAGGCCAATTTTCAATGAACGAACTGCCAACGGACAGGGTTTGCGCTTGGAACATGTGGGTTACACCGAATCCAACCAAATTCATTCACTTTTAACCAAACATGGAATCTTTCTTTCGGTCAAAGATCGCAGTGTTTGGTTGAGTATGAGAGGATCGGTGGTGGGAAGGAGGAAGGGAGGGNGGTAGTTGAATGGTATGTGTGTGCGAGTCTATTTGGTGCACACAGATTGGGTGCAACCAAACAAATTGTGCTCCCCTCCATCGGGAACAAGGTGAGAGGAGAAACTTATTTCGATGGGTAGAGCAGAACTCGATGAGGACTTCGGAGGCTGATATGTAGTCTTCAGGTAATGGCTAGAGGCTATCGGGTGGACGCTCCCCATGAATCTCTTTCCACTGTGTTGTGACCAGCATGGACAGTGCTCTCTAACTCGTTGGAACTATTTCCGCTCGGTTCAGTCCATTTTAAGTGGTTCTACAAATACAGTGAAACGGGTCAACAGTTAAACATGAAATGTTTGTGTTAGATATTGTAAATATTGCTCAGTCTGTGGATGCGCAGGGCAGATTAGTTGCATGAAAGATTCCTCTGGAGGAACAAACACTAGATAGTTTCCAATGAACTCAAACAGGTCGTCTCTTTTGGGCGAACAAACGTCAGAAATTTTTTCATGTGGTCAAGCGACGGATTTCATCAAGAAAGCTTCTGCAGAAATGAAACGAGCAGTGTAAATTGCACTTCGGGTAGGTGGAACAAAAGATACATCTGAT